ACCCTCAACCCTAAACCCTCAACCAAAAAGCCCTAAACCCTAAGCGTTCAAGGGTTCAGGAGCTCAGGATCGAGCCCCATAGTCCTTGTCCCAAAGGCTCCATGTACCTTTATAGTAGATACTTAGGCCTTAAAGGGGTCCCTATGTTGGTACTTTAAGGCTTAAGTATCTACTATATGGGTACATGGAGCCTTAGGGTGTTAAAGCCCACCCTAAGGCTTGAGACATGGATTAGAGATGACTCGCGCTTGGGTTCTCTATGAGGCATGGGGATGATAGCCTCTCTTTTTGCAGAGTTCACTGCAAGCCTAAAGCAATGAAGCATACATCCCTCAAACCCAGAACTTCAACCTTGCATTCCCAACCCCCTAGACCCTACACCCTAAACTAAACCACCTTTCCAACCCCTAGTCACAGGGCCCATTGTAATTCTTCGACTCCACGGATCTTACTTTTGATTACTGACGACTTCAACCCATCGGTATTATAACACCAATGCCACGAATGATAACCTAAACCCCAAGCCGGTTTAAGATTTAGGGGTCCTAAACCCTAAACCCTGAGACCCTCAGGCCCTAAACCCGAAAACCTCAGACCCTTAGGCCCTAAACCCTAAATGTAGCTCCTCGAAGCAAAAGGTCCCAGAATAGGCGGGGCTTGCTTCGGCAGGCACATCTCCCTAAGGGTTCATGTACTCATATGGTAACCCGTACATGGGGGTGTGGGCGGGTTTAGGGTTAGAGTTATTTAGGTACTTCAGGGCCTAAAGTATACACAACGAAGGTGCATGGATCCATAGAGTTTTGTTCTTAAGCCCCTGAGTCAATTGCACCACTCAGGATCTAGCCTGTCTCTTCCAGAACTTTGGAACAGTTACCCTCAGCCCTACCTGGACCCCAAAGAACCTGCCTTTTTAAGGACTTATAATATAAAGAAACCATAATAAGGAACCCTAAGAGGAAGGTTTGTTATTAACATAGGGTTAAGGTATACACCTTAACCTCTAAACCCTCGTCCCCATGTTTTCCCCGGGATGCGCCTCGTCCACAAAACGGTTGACTTGCCTGGGACAAACCGAATAGCTACTTTCCAAAGTCTCACGTTTCATGTTTGACAGAGTACCTTACCCAAAGGGCCCTATGTACTGGTATGGCGCTGGGAACCCTTAACCGCGAACCCAAAACCCCCTAAAGCCATAAACCGACTAGGATTGTAACTACACCCTGCCTTCGACTCATGGGCACATAGGACCCTCTGGGCTTTTCCAAACAAGGGAAGGAAGAGCCCTTCCTCGATCCGGTTCTCGGGTGCGTACTACCCCTACTACTGTGTGCACTTGCAGTTTGGGTGCAAACACCTTACTCGAACACGAAATGAACCCGGCTTTAAGGTAATACACGGGTATAGGGCGCCTACTCTGAAGGGTCGTATGGTCCTTAAGCCAAAGACTACCATGATGGTGCTTGACGTGATGGCGAAGGCGTGACCATTGAAGCTGCTGCTGTTGACAGCGCGGAGAATGATGGCGAATGAGATGGCGAATGAGATGGGGTCTTGAGGGGTTTAGGGGTTTAGGGCTTAGGGGTCATGATGACGACAAAGATGATGCTGCGCAGCTCTAGATGACCATGACTCATGAACGCGATCAACACACCGTGATCTGCATGATGGATACCGCTATCGCTGTGGATGCTAGACATCTGAGCTGCGCCGGAAGATGACGGACGATGATGATGACGGTGTTGGTGTTCATAATGCTGGTGGTGATGAAGATGTTTCAGGCTGACACAGATGTCCATGTTTATGTCAATGTTGATGTACATGGTCATGTCGTGGTTGGTGATGTTGCTGAGTGTAAGCAACTATATAGCACTAACTAGTTGCGTACTCGTGCACGAAGTACTGCTACGCTCCTTTCCACTTCTATTCTACCTTACTCGTGAACATAGAAGTAGCCGTGGTGGTGGCTGTCTTCGTCAGAACCGTGGCCGCTTCAGCATTCCTTGACATTGCTGCTGTCGAACTCGAGAAATCCTTGTGCCGCTGATAACCAGCGCTTGTCATTGCTGCGCTTGATCCAGTCCTTGCCTCCTCTTCGATATTGATCCTTTTGACTCAGAGTACTTGTCCTGCTCTGGCTGCTGTTGTTGTTTGGCGGTTGTAACATTGAGACCGACCTCCTAAAGCCCTGAATCCCGAGTCTCTGAACAGGTAGTGTAGGGGCCGTAAAATTAGGATAAGGTGAGGGGCTCCTTTATAAAAAGGAACCCTAAGGAATAATGTTGTTAATTATTTATAGGCTTAAGCTTCTATAGTAAGCTTTATCCAAGCGTCGCATGGAAGACGCTTCGCCAATCGTCTGACTCTTTCAGATCTCCAGATTTCACCAGGGTCGGATATGTCTTTTTGGTAGCCACCATGTACCTGGGCTCTGTTCGCCTAATAAAAAGGGCCTTGTTTGGGGGCCCATTAAAATGTAATTTTGAAAAAGGAGCCCCCAAAAGAGTGTAGGTAAGGTGTAAAGCCCCTATATTTGGACCTAAAGGCGTAAACCCTAGCATCGAGCGCTCGGGGCTCGTGGGGCCAGAGGGGTAATTGAGTTTTGGGCTTGTCTCCATAGGGGTCAGGGTTTTAGGGTCTCAGAGGTGGGGGACTAACTTCGGGTCGGAATTATTTGACTTGGGTTTGGGGAGGGAATATTCTATCATACACTATTCCGGGACGACCAAGGGTACAGCTTCATGAACGGCATGTTGGCAAAGGGAACATACGCACGCAGTCACACAGCGAACGTTTACCGTTTACCCTGAAGCACTGACTTGTCCACTGAAGTTCAGCAGTTCGTGTTCAGTGCTTGCAACTGATGTTCAAGATCTAGGAAGGGTCAGACCTGCTCACTCCCTCTTTAGGGTACCTATGACCCTCTAGGTTGTGTTCAATGCTCTTCGATGCAGGGTTCAATGCTTAGCGTAGAGAGTTTATGGTTGAGAGTCGACATCAACAGCTCACTATCCCTAAGGGTCCATGTACTCAAATAGTATATACATTTGCCTTAATGTAGTCCCTATAT